GGATGGATGGATACTTTGGACCCTCAGTCTCTTTATCCCTCCCTCAATTTCCAGCATACCCATCTCGGTGCTGCCCAGACCCCACTGGATGTGTTGGGAGCCTCTTATCACCGGCTGATCTCTCCCCACAGAAGTCTTAGCAGGGAGCAGCGCCCAGCGGATCCTTCCAAAGGAGAAGGAAAAGGACTGTAAAGGGAGCGGTTAGCCCTCACCGCCCGCCGCTGGCCTCCTGCAAACAGGGGCTGCGGGGAGGCCCTGGCGCGAGCCAAGCTGGGAGTTTAGGTTTCAGTCCCTGCGGACGGCTAGCCCTGCCTCCTCCCCTCTCACATCTGCAGCTGGGATTGCAATTTGAAACACTGCCTGGGCTGGGCCGGGGCTCGGGGGTGGGAGGAAAGTACTTTGGGAAGCGAGAGGAAACCATAAAGAAAGGCAGAAGTGCAGCCGGGGTGGGCTGTCGGAGGAGAATGCACCAAGGCCAGCAGTAGCCCTTCTTGGCATGACCGTCTGCTGGGAGACAGGGGGGATCCGGAGACCAAGAGGAAAATCCTTGTGTGGGGGCTGAGGGCGGCTCGGACGGTCTCTGGGCTGACAGGGAACAAACTGAGCATGGAGGAGCTGCATAGCTGGATCTAAAGGCATCAGCAGCTCAGACAGGCGGGATCAAAGCTTCTCTGTGCCGCACCTCAGAGGTGAGCGTACGCTGGGCCCTTTGGGAGACCCTGGGCTGGGGGTGACGCTGTGGGGCGACCTGGGACAGGGCAGCCGGCAGTCACCTGAGCTGGAACTGGGAAGGGGCTCGGTTGCCCGCCAGCGTGAGCAGGGGAGCGCTGGAGAGGGGGGCAGAGGGTGGTCTGTTATGTGGGGAGGGGAGCGTGCTCCAATGGGCTGTAACTCCGGATTCCTGGCTTCTACTGCTAGCTTTGGCAGGGAATGTGGAGCGAGCCCAGAGTGGGAGTCAGGACTTGTGGGTTCAACTCCCACCTCTGGGAGGGAGAGTGGCCTGCAAACAGGAATCTGCATTTCTGTGGGTTAGCCCTGGCTCGGGACACGCCGACTACCTGCCCCCGCAAAGCGTGTTGAGTTCTGCCGATGCCAAGCACCGTATGCAGCCAGCCCGAAGTATTGCGAATTGTTCGTGCCGGGAGGCCCGCAGTCTATTCCCACTCCGCCGCGGGGTGGACTGCCGTCCTGCTCGCTTGTCTCCGCTGGATAAAGTCATTGCCAGCAGGAAAGCGACATGTTTTCAAACAAATGGCCGCTGAAAACCCCGGGTCCCTGGGTCATTTGAGGCTTTTCTGTCCCAGCAGGGCCATAGACATTCTTGCTGATTGGGACAGGAGGTCAAACACTTCAGACAGGCAAATTTTACAGCTGCATCCGAACTTCTGCAGGCCCCAAGGAGTTTCTCCACGAGGAATACTTTGTAATTCCATAGTGTTGGGTCTGAGAGCAACGATCACGCACTGATTAACCCCTGCCAGGGAGAGGCTCCTAATTCCCTTCTTTATACGGGAGCTGCCCCACCCTTCTGCCCCACCCAGCTCTGACTTCCCTGAGCTGTAGCTAATTTATTTCCCTCGCTGGTTTCCATGGAAGCAGAAATACTATAAAGCTCTAAGAAACGTTGCTTCTTAACTATTTGCAACTTGATCCAAAGCAGTAAGTGCTGGGGAGGGGGGGCGGGGGCAGGATGATCTTCCGAGGATCCCCTTTATCTGAGATTTCCAGAGCTGAGGGGCTGGGCTCATTCTGGGAAGGGGATGTCTTCCCTGCAGAGTTATCACATCCCAGGTTAACCGCACGGCAAAGCCCGACCCGAGTGACCATGCCCTCCCTGGTTCTGTGCACCCCTGTGTGTCAATAGGACTTCTGGGGGCGTATCCCCTGGTGTTTCATGCTGGGGGGAGCTGAGCTGCCCTGTGAGACCTGGGGGAGAATGTGTCTGTGTTTGCGGGCACACGTGTGTCTGTGTGTGCGCCGGGCTGGGCAGGTGCGTTTAGGAGGTGGCGTGACTTGGCGGAGGGTGGGTGAAGCTGCGGGCTGTGTGGAGGTGATCGTGGGTGGGGTAGGCACGTGCGTGTCGCGGGGGGGTGCGCCTGGGTGCAGATAGATGGTGGGTGTGTGGTGAGGACTGTGCAAGGAGGTGTCTGTGTGTAGCTAATTGTGCGGGAGGGACAGCGTGCTTGTGCACAGGTGTGATGGGGGGTTTCGTGTGTGTGTTCACGGATGCATGTTGTATGGCATACGAGGGAACCCACCCTAGTAAGGCGTTCAGTAGAGGACGGAGAGAAAACCCTCATTTACCCCCCAGACAGCCCTTGAGACAACACCTCCCTCTTCCCCCTTGTGAGGCTCCTCCCACGGGCCCCCCTTGTCGCTGGGCGCCCGAGGAACGACTGTACTTACTGGCAGTGCTAGTGGTAGCTATGTGGGCCCAGGAACAAGCCACGCTTGCATCCAAAGCTGCTGGAAAGTGGGAGCGGCTCTTAGTTCATTGCAGTCTCTCCCTCTGGTCCCTGACCCCACAGCCCCCTCAGGGCTCTGCTCCAATAAGCAAGTCAGCCTCCGCCAGAGACACACAACCAACCCCGGGCTGGAGAGAGGGTAGCAGATACAGGAGCAACCATGCAGAGTCCAAAGACACCACGTCGTTCCCGGCCTAGGGCCAGGATGTGGTGCTCTACCCTCCTGTGGGTATTCACGGCGCGGCAACAGCCACAATGGGTTACAGGCTGCGACCTCTACCTCGCAAGGCTCGGCTTCCCAGTTTGCTTTTGCTCCCAGGGAACCTGAGTTTGTGGGTCTCCTCCGAGTCTGTCAACAGCGAGAAGCTCAGCCACTGGGCGCTCTCTGCCCAAGAGGAATCCGACAGGGCCGCCCAGAGGATTCAGGGGGCCTGGGGCAAAGCAATTTTGGGGGCCCCTTCCATAAAAAAAAGTTGCAATACTCTAGTAACATGTATTTGGAAATATAAAAAAATAACCAATGAAATACATTCAAAAATTGATTTTTAATAATTTGAAAATACACAAAATACATTCTTTAAAAACATTAAATGCTTTAATAATATGTATACATTTGCAATTACATCATGGGCTGTCGCTGGGTGATGGTGATGGTTGGTGCCAATCGGCTGTCGCTGCCTGGGGATGGCGCTGCTGTTGCCCAGAGCTGGGTGGGGAGCTGGGCTCTGGGTTGGGGATGCCCGGCTCACAGGGGCTGGGCTCAGAGCTGGGGGTCAGGGCTGTGGGGGAATGGGGTCAGGGGGTGCCCGGCTCAGAGGGGCTGGGCTCAGAGCTGGGGGTCAGGGCTGTGGGGGAATGGCGTCGGGGGGTGCCCGGCTCAGAGGGGCTGGGCGTCAGGACTGCAGGGGATGGGGTTGGAGCTAGGGGTCAGGGCTGTGGGGGGATGGGGTCGGGGGGTGCCTGGCTCAGAGGGGCTAGCAAAGGGGAGCAGGGTTGGGGTCGCGGGGGGTGCGGGAGGTCTGGATTGAGGTACCCCAGCAGAGCGGGACGGGGCAGGCCATGAGATTGTTATTGGACACGAGAGGCCAGGACCTTGGCTTTAGCTCTCCCGGGGCCTTGCTAAGGTGTTGTGTCTGCTACTGCCTCAGAGGAAAGCACCAGCCCTGATGAAAACTCAGCATCGCTTCTTGCAACCCCCTCGCGTCCTGGTGCGAACGAGCCCTGGCCCTGCGGGTGTATTTCATGAGAGCCGAGAGGCTCACAGCCCACGTGGTGTGTCTGTGGTTTAGGGCCCTTCCTTCAGATGGCCAGCCTGGCACGACTGCTGTCTAGCAGCACCCACTCTACCTTAGTGTTCCTGCACCTAGCTCGAGAATGGAAGGGGAAAGGGGATTTTAAACCCCCTTAGAGCAGCCCTGTGGCAGGGGACGCAATCTTAAGCAGGTGGATCCTTACGGCCTAGGAAGCAGAAAATATCCAGCGTGCAGAGAACTGTGTCACACCGTCGCTCGGAGGCTGGGAGCAGGGCCATTATGCCAGTTCTGCACTGGCCAGGGAGCTCTTCCCAGGGGGCCGTTTTCCCTCCCTTTGCGGCTCCGGCTGGAGCCGTGCGAAGAGGCCTCGGGATACTGACAGTCAGTCCCGCTGGAGTTAACTTATCACTTCCCTGCCTATGCTAGGCCTCTGCCCCAGCGGCGTGGGAGAGCTCCCCGCCTCGCTAGCCCGTCCTGCCACTCTACAACGCACAGGAGTAACTACAAAGTGTTTCCCTATCATCCAAATTAAAAGCTTCACGTTGGGGAAAAAACGCAGCAGGAGAGAGAAGTCAGCAGGAGTTGGGAACCTTGTGGAAATAGCACCCTTAGCTCCCGGTCTTGCACCTTGAGCGACCCCTGCTGGCCGACCCCGAAGCAGCAGCAGCGAGCTCTGGAAAGACCTGCTTCGCGCTTGGCCAATGGGAGAACGTTAGTGGCCAGCAGCGGTGTGGGGAGGGTGGGCTCAGAGGACTTCTCCATGACCCCTCTAAAAGGTATCGCTGTCCTGATCTTCTCTTTGCTTGTCCCTTCGGCATGGGGGGATTGTGGGTGTGGCTAAAGCCACGAGGAGCTATCGTTTTGACACCTCCCGCCAACACGGTACGTGTTAGACAAGCTCTCTCCAGCCGGTCGCCTCGCGTGCTCTCCATGGATGTGTGATGCAGGGGTTGCCAGAACAAACAGCCATCGATAATTCGTGATAAGCTGCAGCGAGAGTCTGGACGAGCCGTATCTTCCCAGAGGAACCTCGCGCTGAGCTTTCAGGATGCGATTCACAGGCCGGCCTGTTGGAAAGGAGCTAATCAACTCCTGGGAAACAATCTTTTCACCAGAGCGGCATGCAGTTTGCAGACCAGCTTTCTCTAAGCATCAGCCTCCAGCCTATTGAGAATCCTCCTGTAAGCTTTCAACATACAGCCCCTCTTTTACTGCTAATGGTTTATTCCCAGTGGCAGATTTAGATCCCCGGGTCACATGGGGCTCACTCCTTCCCCTCCTGCTGCATCGACAGTTTTATTTACAAGGCAACAGGGGCTGCCAGAAGGGAAACACATCTGTTTAGGGAACGGCTTGATACCTGCCATTTTTAGCACAAGCTTTTTTCTCATGGGGCTGCTGGGACTTGGAAACTGGCTGCCTGAGTGTCAGTGTGTGGGTGGGTTTGGCTTCGGACAAGGCCTCTTCCCAGATTAGCTAATCCCGGTTCTCATGCCCAGGGCCAGGGTTTCAGAAGCGAGCGTACATGCCAATCTGAAGGCCCAGTCGCCCCTGAGACATCCAGCGTGATTTGTTCTAATCTTCTGCAGAGCCTCAAGCCTGGATGTTAGCCAGGAAGATGAAGGCGTTCAGTTGATCAATATTTTTCGTGCAAAATACTCTTTGCATGAAAAATAGCTTTTTCCAAAACCTGAAAACCGAGTTTTTGGCCAACAAACGTTTGATTTTTTTTTCTGACAAAAACGTGAAAACTTTTAAAGAGAAAACGTGCAAGTTTGTGCCCAAAACCTGACAATCAAAAACTTTTCAGCCCAAACACTTTTCCATTTCCCTCTCCAGCTCCACTCAGGAGTTCAGTGCGCCTTGTCCCAGGGAGACCGGCCCCTTTAAGAGATTATGGGTCCAGCCCCACCTGTGACTCCTTCAGCTTCCCTCCCCAGGCAGCACAGTCATGTGATAGGCGGGTCATGTGGCCAGATCAGGCCTGGAGCGTACATAAGAGGGAAACCTCTAAAAAGACCAGGAGGAGAGAGAGCAGACGGCCTGTAGGGGGAACGCAGGCTGGCAGGATGGCTGTGGGCCCCCTGAAGAGGCTCCGTGAACCAGGTCTGGAACTGGCTATTGGGGGAAGCCGGCCTAAGCCCAGCACTGGTGCTCCAGGGTGGCCCCCTGCTATGCTCCTCATCCTCATTCGTTCCTCCCGGGAATATCTCTTCCTTGTCCGTGGCCGGCACTTTGAAACCGCTGAAGAGAGGTGGCCCGCGAGGAATCCAGCCCAGGCGTCACGGGAGACCTAGCGCAGTTTGCTGGGATGGGGCTGGATTGTTGGACAGTTCGCCAGCCCGTTGGGATGGTCTCAAAGCGAAACCCCTGGTCTGAACAGCTCGGGGCTGTCAGAAATCCTGACCCGGCTCCAGAGCGAACGTTCACAGACGTCCCCTGGGTGAGGGGGTGACAAATGGCAGCTGGAGGGAGGTGGTAGGAAGAGCGCAGCTGCGGCGAGGGGTCCTGAGCAGCCGTGGGGCCCAGCTCTGAGCTGGAAATGGAGGGCGGAGGGCGAGAGGTTAGCAAGGCAGGAGAAGTGCCAGGCCAGGAGCCCAGGCAAGATCCACACGGCTGCAGCAGCCTGGCCAGGAGAGGCAATGCAGCAGAGCCACCCACCCCCACCGTAGTGGCCAAGCCAAAATCCCCCACAGCCAGCCAATCAGTAGAGAAAAACATGTTAATCGTTTTAGAAGTGCCGGCCAATCAGAGCGGAGTAAAAAAAAAAAAAAAGGCACAGTGGTACGGTGCCCCCTGGTGGTTGGCACCCAGGGCGATTGCTCTCCTCATCAGCCCCTCGGCCATGGGTGGGGTGGGGAAGAACAAGGCAGGAGCGGGGTCAGGGTCCGAAGAACAGGGTGTAGCAGGGCATGGGCACTGCATGCCCTTCTGTCTGTAAGTTGCTGTAGCCTTCTCTAGACTAGGGGAGTTGCACCTGTGTTACCCAAGCGACCGAGTCAAACCTGTGCGAAGTCCGTAAAGCAGTGTCACCCTTCGATCACTCTCACTAGCGCTCATCTTGTTCTAGTCAAACCAGTGCAACGATTCTAGTATAGACGACTCCTAAGTGTCTGTGCTTCGCAAACACATGCCCCAACACGCCCCTAGCCTGGTCCAGACGCCAGGCCAAATCCAGAAGGTCCTGAGATTTCCCATCTGATCACTAGAGGTTCTCTGCCCCTGTGGTGACTGGCCCATCACTAGTCAGTGCAATTGTAACAACCTACCTTACCCTCAGGTAGGACTTGAATGCAGGACTTTCAGCACCAAAGCACAAACCACATCCAGCTGAGCTAAAGGAGTAACTCCGTTAGCTAGCAGCGGTAGTAGTCTGTTGTCCTCTTTGTGGAACAGCCGCTAGCGGGGGATGCAGTGAACACTTCTCAAGGGCATCTCAGGAGCATGGTAAGGACACAATGCTAACCCCTGTGTTCTGAATTTGCAGCCAGGAAGGTATGTGAAGATGTCGACCTTCCTAGATCCTGGGATGCACACTCTCCAGATAGGTAAGACTTATTCGTGGGTCGGATACTTTGGTACTCAGATGGGCTGGCGGTCAGGGCCATGTAAGTGCCTAGGCTGGGTACCATCTGTCTTGGAAGGTTTAGACACAACAAATCCTGCATCTTGGCAGGGGCTTAGACTAGATGACCCTGACGGTCCCGTCTAACACTCTGATTGTAGGTTTCTAGGTAGTTCGATATGGTAGAGACAAGCATTAGTGGATTATAGCTGGCATGCTGTTAGTTAAAGGAATTATTGGATGTGGTCCATGGAAAGAAACCTGGAGCAATGGGACAAAATTAAGAAAAGGAAAATTTAGGCTTAACATCAGGAAAACCCTCCTGACAGTGAGATGTTCTGCTGGGCTGTGGAATCGTCGCCCACAGGAAGGGGTGGATGCTTCAGAGCTCAGGGCTCTTCCCACAAGCCCGGTCAGAGCACTGAAATGTGCTGTGATCTAATAGTTCTTTGCCAGCACCTCGTAGATTATACCACCAGCAGGGACCAACGGGGAGGAGAGATAGCTCAGTGATTTGAACATTGGCCTGCTAAACCCAGGGTTGTAAATTCAATCCTTGAGAGGGCCATTTAGGGATCTGGGGCAAAAATCTGTCTGGGGATTGGTCTTGCTTTGAGCAGGGGGTTGGACTAGATGACCTCCAGAGGTTCCTTCCAACCCTGATATTCTATGGTCATCTAGTGTGACCTCCTATATGACACACATCATAGAACTGCCCTCGATTAATTCATGTTTGAATTAAGGAAACATCCACTCTTGATGTGAAAATGACTTGTGATGGAGAATCCACCATAACTTGTTCCAGTGGTTAATTACCCTCACTGTTAAACCTTATTTCCAGTCTGAGTTTGTCTAGCTTCAACTTCCAGCCATTGGATCTCATGGTACCAATGTCTGCTGGCCTGAAAAGCCCTCGGTTCTCAAATTTCTGTTCCCCGTGGAGGTATTTACTGCCTGTGACCAAGTCCACCCTGGAAGCTTCTCTTGGTTAAACTAAACAGATTGAGTTTATGTCTAAGATTCTTTGACATCACTGGTGCAAGGATGTAGGCGGAGCTTTACACATTCACTTTATTACAGTGCCTCCCGCTCCCAGCCTCCTTCTGTTACAAAGCCATTGCCGTCCGAGCGGGGTGTGGTTCGAAAGAGAAAGCCAGAGACTGAGGACTCTAAAGATGGGGCTGAGCCAAACCAACCCAATATCCTGCAAGGGGGGTTTTATGCGCACTCACATTTTGCAGTTAGCCTCACTTTCCAGACCTGGCCAAACCCAAGACCTGGCTGCTGACAACTTTACATTTCGGTGGGGTTCAAACTTTTGTGCCAAGTTTCACAGTGCTGGCTTAGCCTCTAGTTAATAACCAGCCTGAAGACGAGCCGGAAGAGCCTGTAGCCACCATAAGAAATGTTACCCTAGGAAATATTCTACAACAGCACCTGGCTTGCGGATCAGCCATGCCCTGCAGAGTCCTGCCTGGATGGAATATTTTGAGAACCCGGCAGGGTGTGTGTGTGTGTGTGTGTGTGTGTGTGTGTGTAAGATATGCAGAGAAAATGGCCCAGGAGAGGGATCTGAGGAATGAAAGAGCTTGACAGCTACTTGCCTTCTGTAATGTAGCACATGCTTGGGATGCGTCACTACTGTCTTGTGGGCCAGTGAATCATAGAATCATAGAATATCAGGGTTGGAAGAGACCTCAGGAGTCATCTAGTCCCACCCCCTGCTCAAAGCAGGACCAACCCCAACTAAATCATCTCAGCCAGGGCTTTGTCAAGCCGGGCCTTAAAAACCTCTAAGGATGGAGATACCACCACCTCCCTAGGTAACGCATTCCAGTGCTTCACCACCCTCCTAGTGAAATAGTGTTTCCTAATATCCAACCTAGACCTCCCCCACTGCAACTTGAGACCATTGCTCCTTGTTCTGTCATCTGCCACCATTGAGAACAGTCTAGATCCATCCTCTTTCGAACCCGCTTCAGGTAGTTGAAGGCTGCTGTCAAATCCCCCCCTCACTCTTCTCTTCTGCAGACTTAATAAGCCCAGTTCCCTCAGCCTCTCCTCATAAGTCATGTGCCCCAGCCCCCTAATCATTTTTGTTGCCCTCCACTGGACTCTCTCCAATTTATCCACATCCTTTCTGTAGCGGGGGGCCCAAAACTGGACGCAATACTCCAGATGTGACCTCACCAGTGCTGAATAGAGGGGAATAATCACTTCCCTTGATCTGCTGGCAATGCTCCTACTAATGCAGCCCAATATTCCATTGGCCTTCTTGGCAACAAGGGCACACTGCTGACTCATATCCAGCTTCTCGTCCACTGTAATCCCCAGGTCCTTTTCTGCAGAACTGCCGCTTAGCCAGTCGGTCCCCAGCCTGTAGCAGTGCATAGGATTCTTCTGGCCTAAGTGCAGGACTCTGCACTTGTCCTTGTTAAACGTCATCAGATTTCTTTTAGCCTAATCCTCCAATTTGTCTAGGTCACTCTGGACCCTATCCCTACCCTCCAGCATATCTACCTCTCCCCCCAGCTTAGTATCATCCGAAAACTTGCTGAGGGTGCAATCCATCCCATCATCCAGATCATTAATGAAGATGTTGAACAAAACTGGCCCCACGCCCGACCCCTGGGGCATCCTGCTTGATACCGGCTGCCAACTAGACATCGAGCCATTGATCGCTACCTGTTGAGCCTGACGATCTAGCCAGCTTTCTATCCACCTTATAGTCCATTCATCCAATCCATATTTCTTTAATTTGCTGGCAGGAATACTGTCGGAGACCATAACAAAAGCTTTGCTAAAGTCAAGATATATCACATCCACTGCTTTCCCCATATTCACGGAGCCAGTTATCTCATCATAGAAGGCAATCAGGTTGGTCAGGCATGACTTGCCCTTGGTGAATCCATGTTGACTGTTCCTGATCACCTTCCTCTCCTCCAAGTGCTTCAAAATGGATTCCTTGAGGACCTGCTCCATGATTTTTCCAGGGACTGAGGTGAGGCTGACTGGTCTGTAGTTCCCCGGATCCTCCTCCTTCCCTTTTTAAAAGATGGGCACTACATTAGCCTTTTTCCAATTGTCCGGGACCTCCCCCGATCGCCATGAGTTTTCAAAGATAATGGCCAATGGCTCTGCAGTCACATCAGGCAACTCCCTCAGCACCCTCGGATGCATTAGATCTGGACCCATGGACTTGTGCATGTCCAGCTTTTCTAAATAGTCCTTAGCCTGGTCTTTCACCACTGAGGGCTGCTCACCTCCTCCCCATACTGTGCTGCCCAATGCAGCCGTCTGGGAGCTGACCTTGTCTGTGAAGACCAAGGCAAAAAAAGCATTGAGTACTTCAGCTTTTTCCACATCGTCTGTCACTAGGTTGCCTCCCCCATTCAGTAAGGAGCCCACACTTTCCCTGACCACCTTCTTGTTGCTAACATACCTGTAGAAACCCTTCTTGTTACCCTTCACATCCCTTACTAGCTGCAACTCCAGTTGTGTTTGATTGTTGGTGTGTTGGGCTCTGAGTCCAAAGCCTGCCACATCCATTGAAGCTAGTGGGAGCTGCAGGTACTTGGCAGTAATAAAAGGAAAGGGAGTTTTGTGGTTAAAGCGCTAGCGTAGGACTCTGGCGAGTTGGGTTCAACTCCTGGCTCAGGCATAGATACCCTGTGTAACCTTGGCCTGACTCTTTCTGTGCCTTCCCCTCCATTTGTAAAATAGGGGAGATCATCTTTCCCTTGCCTCTTTAGATTGCAAGCTGCTTGGGGAAGAGACTGTCTCCCACAATGGACCTGTGCACAGCCCAGCATGGTGGGGCCCCGATCTCAGTTGTGCCCTCTCTGTGCTACTGTGATCCAGTCAGACATTCTCCAGTGTCCAGCCCGCCTTCTCCAATGCACAGAGAAGCAGGAGTTCCAGACTCCTGTCCTTACCACCTTAGCTGGCTGCCTCCTCCTTTCAGAATCCAACAGGAAGCTGCCCACCTGCTCCATTCTGCTCCACCATCCTCTTTGTCCTCCCTTCCCTGCTCTCTCGGCCAGAACCAACCTCTTCTCCTTCCCCATCACACAATCTCACCCCCTCTTCTTCTCTGCAGCTCCCACAACCTCCGGGCCCTTTACCGAGTCCCATCTCACTGCAGACACTCCGCTGAAAAGCCCACCGCGCCCCTTTGAAATTTCTCTCTCCACCCGCCGCTATGATTTCTTATTTAGCTCGGCAATTGGATTATGTACAATAACTCTGCACCACGCTTTGCAACGCAGTTGGTTTGATATTATTTATTATTTGGCTCGGCAATTGGATTATGTACAAGAACCCTGCACCACGCTTTGCAATGCAGTTTGTTTGGGGAGACACCGCCCTAGACAAAATTGTTTCATGGCGTCTCTAGCTCTCAAAGCAACGGTTTATTAAAGCGTTTCCTAATTCAGCCCTGCCCCCCCGCACGGTTCCCACCGGGCTGGTCTCTTCCCATTAAGTTAAAAAGTCCTGACTGACTTTCCTTTTTGTTTAAAATCAAATATTAATGCCCCGGACAGTGAAACCCACTTAGAAAACAGGCACAAATGGAATGAAGCCGTGTCTTCTCAGGCAGTGATTCTAGGCCCAGCCGGTAGCGAGCGGCTGTAACGAATCCCAGAAGAAATCGTAGAGCAATGTTCAGAAACGTACAAAATCTGCTTCTGCAGCCACTCTGCTGATTCACCTGGGAGAGGCCTGGCACCTGTCAGCTAGCGAGACAGATACATGCCGTGAGCTCAGCGCTCAGCCAGCAGCCTTTACGGAGGGGGGGGACAGTGCAGAGAGCAGGGCGCTAACCTAAACCTTGGCAAAGCTCGATTCAGTTCCCTGCTCTTGGGCGAGGCATTTACTTTCCTTGGGCCACAATTCCCCATCTATAAAAGAAGGACACCAGCACGGCCCTGCCTTATAGAGGTGTTATACATCACAGACTGTTCACGCACTCGTACTATGGCG